CTTGGCATGGTTCTCGGGGGCCTCTTGCAATACGTCCGTCTTGGGGTTCGCTGTATCGTCTGTATGACTCTAGCGGTATCATGGCCGCACTTCTTGGTTCGTATCATGAAAGCCTAACGGCCAGTGCCGCCGGCCCTGAAGGAGGCGGGACCTCTCCCGGGACCCTGGGGCCCCTTTCCTCAGAGCGTGAATTACCTACCCCGCTTTCGCTTCCGGGCAAGACCAAGTCATACCACGCGCCTCCCCGTCGAGCGGCCTGACCAGTGCGGGCCGTAGTTTGGCATCGCTTGGTAGCTCTTGGAAGCGAGGGTGGTAGAAAGCGAGGTGGGTTCGTTTGCCCCCTATTTCCAGGAACCCGGGGCCGGGACCCGGGCTGGGGCCCTGGGCTGAGGCCGGGGCCGCGGCCGCGGCCAGGGCCGGGGCCAGGGCCCTGGGCTGGGGCCCTGGGCCGGGGCCGAGGCTGGGGCCTATGCCCCCTGGCCACCCGCAGGGATCCCCGGGGGCGGTAGTTTGACCTGGGCCCCCCCCCCCAGCGCACCCCTCCCACACCTCTCCAGGGTCGCCCCCCTGTCCCCCCCCCCCCCCTCCTGGTCAGGGGATGGAGACAGGGACGGGAGCCCAGTCCATTACGATGTTTCTTTTCTATGTACGCTCCTCGATCTTCTTGTGATTTGGCGACGGCGACGACGACGACGACGACGACGACGACGACGCCGGCGACGACGCCGGCGACGACGACGACGACGACGACGACAGCGTCTCACTCACGGCGACGGGTCGGCAGATGTCCTGCGTGACATCAGAGGTTCCAAGAAATTCACTAGAGTCGCATTTTCTTTTTTACCAGGGTGGTACCCAAGTAGTGCCGCTTGTGGGCTTCCCTGTTGTTAGCTGAGCTTTCTCTTTGAATCCGCAGCCGTCTGGGCCCATACCTGTTTGGTTCAGCCAATCGTCGGCATTCCAGAGGGCCTGCGCGCGCCCGAGCGGGGTTCGAGTCGTGCTCTCGGCGATTTGCCCTGCCGCTGAATTGCCCGCGGGCTCGATGGAAACGACTGGCAACATGCTTCGCATTCGTGCGCAGGCTGCGGGAAGCACGTCGGTGTCGAGGAGTACGGCCGACTGCATGGCGTTTATCAAATCCCAACAAAGCAGAAATGTCGAGTCCCTTGACCTCTTTGGAAAGTCTTCTCTACCAACCGATGTTCACAAGCGGAGAGGTCTGTGCATGTGGTGTTCACTTTTTTGTTTGTTGTTGTATTTTTTTGTTTTGCTGTTTTCGTCATTCGGGAACCGTGGTCGACATGGCGTGCGGCACGCTGGCGCGAGAAACTTTCTGCGACGTGCCCTCGCGCGGCGAAGCACTGCGGAGCGTGCTGGACTGGGTGTGGGCGCAGGTCATCGATCCGCGAGCTCAACGGCGCACAGGCTCCACTGGCCGAAGGCCCCGTCTGTAGCGAGAGAAGTGCTTCGCCTGGGGGAGTGTACACTTGGTCGCTCGAGTTTCATCGCCGTGCTCGTCCGCCGTGGCGCCGGAGGCAGCGTCTGCTGTTTTCGAACACAAGCGCCCGGCAGCGGCGGGTGCTTGCCAGGCGCTCAGCGAAGAAATATCGAAACGTATGTTGTCCTGCAACCGCCGCTGGCCCGCCGGGGGCGTCGAACGCAATTGCGATGACGCCAGCAAGGCATTGAACTGGGCAATATCCCAGGCCTTCCGAGAAGTTGCTGGGATATCGACGTTGTTTGCGCGGGCACTGCCTCAAGCCGACGTCTTCTTGCCATGGCGTGCGCGGGCGGCAATCATTTCGGTGATCTTTTGCCGCGCGGCAGTGGCGCCGTGAGTGATCTCAGGGGAGCGGGCCAGGACAGGGCCCTCGACGAGTTCGGAATGAATGAAGGGGCAACGTTAGAGTGACAGTGGTGCCAAGCACCTTCCACTGAAGGAAAGACCGCTTCAGCCATCTGGTCTGCACGTCTCGAGCGGCGCCAAGCAATCACCAGTGCAGTTCTACATTTCATGCCTCCATGTGTTTGTGTGACCAAGGAGGTCCGAAGATGTGCCGGTTCATCTGTGTTGTCTGGAGTCTTGCCGACTGCGTGACCCAAGTTGTGCCGGGCGAGTGCCATCTGAAACGCGTCGTTTGCGTGACTCCAATAATACCAAGGCTGTGCCACTTGAGTCGTGTCCTCTTGAGCCTTCTCGTTTGTGCAGCCCGAGGGGTAGTAATGCAGTTCACTTGGGGCATATCGTCTGTGCGGTTCAAACGTTGCCAAGGCAGCGCCGCTGGGATCACCTTGTCTCAAGACTGATCGTATGTATTACCCAAGCCTTACGAAGGCAATGCCACCTAAGGCATATCGACTGAATCGCTCAAGTGGTGCCAACACAGTTTCACATGAGTCATGATGATGTGGGTCAGTCGGCATGCATGTGTGAAGTGGTTCCAGGGCAGTACCACTTGAGGCATGTCGTCTGTAGGGCTCGAGTGGTACTACGGTAGTGCCGCTGGGGTCAAGTGTTCCTTGAGTCATGTCGTCTGTATGCGTGGTTCCGAGCAAGTGCCACTCGAATCGCGCCGCCGGCGTGCCCCAGGTGGTACCGTGCAAGTGCCACTCGCGGGATGTCGCCTGTAGTCCATGCGTGGTGCCAACCAGGTACCCCTTGGGCCATGTCGCCTGTGTACTTCAAGTCGTGCCAGGCAGGTGCCAATCACGTGTCTCGTGATCAATCGCGTTTGTATTCCTTAAGGGATACCGGGCAGTTACTGTTTGAGTCATATCGCATGTGCGCGTCATGTGGAGCCAAGCAAATACCAATGGAGTCGTAGCGGGTGTGCGCCTCAAGTGGTGCAAGGTTGGTACCGAGCACATACGATCAAGGTCATCGCGCTCGTATGCTTCACATGGCACCGAGCAAGTATTAGGTAAACCATATCGTCAGTACGGTTCAAGCGGTTCCTTGTTTTGGGCCAGTCGAGTCAGATCGTCTGTATGTTTCAAGTGGCGCCAAGTGGCTCCTGGGGTGCGAGTCTCATGCATTCTTACGTGTCCTCGGGCCCCCCAGGCAATTCTGAGAACCCTTGGGGGGAGGGGCAGTGGCCAGGGTGATTTTGGGTTTTCTCCTTCGCGTGAGAAGTAACACATAATAGTAGGAACCAACATGCAAAACTGTACACTTTGAGATTCAAAGGTGGAACTGGCACAGGGAGCAGTTAGCCGGAGCTTCGCAGCCTGAGGACCCCACAGTGGGGGCCGGCGGGTAACAACAATTGTCTTGCCAATGACTTTGACCTTTGGGGCCAGCCTCCATGCCCTCAAAGATGTCCCGAGAGGTTCTCGTGGACCGTGTGGGCCATTTTCGGGCCCTTTTGTGGGAAGTGCCCTTGACGAGCTTACGGGATGTTGGACCTTTGGCATGGGGGAAAGGGGGAGGGGGACAAGCAAACATCTCATGCGCTTTCTCACCCGAGCAAGCGGGGATTGGCGGGCTTAGGCGTCGCTTTTTCGCAAATAGGGAATCGCGCTCTCGCCTGGGACTTCCTCGCCGCCATCTTTGATGTCACGCTCGCCCGACCCGCCCGTCAGGGTCTTCCTGCCTGAGACCCGCTAGTCAGGGTCAGCCCGCCCGACCAGCCAGTCAGTGTCAGCCCGCCCAAACCGCGCGTTAGGGCCGGCCGTCCGACCAGCGCTTTCAGGTCCGCTGTTTGTTGGGGTGGTGATGGTCAGGCTGGTGGTGTGATGAGCATTTGTGGTGGCGACGAGGCTGAGAATGAGGGTGAGGATGAGGACGAGGATGAGGATGATCATTATCATGCTGATGATGAGGAGGAGGCGGAAACGGGAAAAGGGGGAACAAGGGGAGGAGGAGGACCACTGTAAATTCAAGGCGCATCAGCGATGGTGCAAGACAACCTCGTTCCACGTTCGTTCTCTAAGCCCTTCAAGGCATGTAGTTTCGTTGCTGGAAAAGGCTTCGATGGAAGGCAGTCGTTTGAGATGTTTCAGTCGTGCCAAAACACCATTCCTGGGACTTCAGCGCCGCGAATCATTTTGTCCGTTTCGTCCTGACGTTTCGTATTCGTTCCAGAGAGGCGCAACCCCTGTGATTTCAAGACCGCGAATTGTTGTGACTGTTACGCCTTCGCAGTCCTAAATCGTGCCGGGACGTCGCCCTGGGGATGTCAGCTAACCAACAACACATACATTTGCTGTAAACGTTTAACACTAATGTGTGTGGCGCTAAAGCGGAAACCACATTTTGAAAAAGAGCAGATCTCCATCCGATTTCTTATGATGAGTGTGGCGCTGAAGCGAGAGACGCCTCTTGAACATCACCAGCCTTCATCTGTCAGACTGTTGCATTTTAAAACGAGTGTGCGCGGTGGTAAAGCGAGAACCATATTTTGAAAACGACCTACCCTCCGTAAGTGAACATATTGCAAACTTGGACAACGAATGTGCGGTGCGCGAAGGCGAGAGCCACATTTTGAAAACCACCCGTCCGCATCCGTGAAGCTCTTGAGCAATCTTATAGGCAATTTCGCGCGGCGCTAAGGCGAAAGCAACCTTTTGAAGACGACCTGCCTTCCATCCGTGAATCTGCTGCGAATTTTAAGCTTCTGGGTCGTATGCGATAGGGAAGTCTCCTCCGAAACGCCCGGCCCGCCCTCTGGAAACGTGTCGAGGGTCTCTAGTGATTTTAGAAGGAAATTCGATGGGGGAGGCGGACCAGCTTCGGTTTTTCACTAGGGGAACAAAAAGTGGCATAAACATAAAAACTCGGAGGTCCGCGCGGATTTCTCGGATCCGCGCTGGGGCCCCCCGGCGGCGCCTCTGGCGCCGCCCCTGGCGCGATTCACATTGGAGACCATGGAGGGGCTTGGCCGCGAAAGGATCGCAAGGAACGCCCCCCCCCCGGCACGCCGCAGGCGCCACCGGGCGAAGAGTCTGCCGGAGGCGGCCGCGTTCTGGTCCCGCGCCGCGGCGCAGGCACTGGCGGCCAG